TCAAGAAAGATAGGCGAATTACTGAAAAAATGGAACACAGAGATCATGTATAAATAAATACTAAAGCATTCTTGGATCATTCCTTCTCTTAGAGAATCTCTAGATGCCCTCTGCAGATCAGGTTGTAATAAGGTTTTGTGCTCATGTGGTAGTGTTTACGCGGGGGAGACTTGTCGAACAATACATAGGAGGTTGTCGGAACACAAAAGCGCCTGCAAAAGTTTATATATTCAAAAATTGGAGGTGGCTGAACTTATTGTCACTAAAGGTTACCAGATAAAGTCTCCGAATCAAATCTTTGCCGGATATAGAAACTTCACAACTAAGCGGAAAATCAGGGAGTCGAGTGAAATTGGCAAAACAAAGAACATCCTGGATAAAATGAACGAGTGTAGGAAACTAGGAACTATCTCTTGGTGCTAAATAGAATTATGGAGAGTCAAAAAAGAAAAGGAAAAGCAAGAATCAGAGTAAGAGACTTGACTAAGCCGAAGTCTGGTTTCGGACGCAAAATTGCCAACTAACTCGTGAATAGAAGTTGTTTGACCTTATTTTCGCAACTTCGTCATATTCGTAAGAGGACTTAGAGGAACGCACCTAGTCCGGAGTCCTTTGTATGCATGATAATTTCCAGAGTCGAAGGCGAACGTGGTACACTCCCAGACGTTTCGTCAGTGAGCATTGCTTGCCTTAGCACCATACAGCAACTCTTCAAATAGACAAGTGAAGCTGATCCTTTGACCAATTGTCTGCTAAACAATCGTGATATCAATCCTTCCGCCCTGGACTAATCACCAATCCTATATCCTCATATCACGCCTTTACTATCACACATTTGTGGTATGGTATGTTCTTATGAGCGGCTTTCATGAGAACTCTCCACACTCCACACTGGCATTCTCATCCCCTCATCCCTCTTCATCCTTGCACTGGGAATGTTGATAAGAATCTTCCCTATTGTCACACAGTCATTCCATAGGTCTTATCAGTCTCCCTCTTGCCCAGTGGGATCCATCTGCTATCTTCCTGGTTCAAGTATTTCACTTAACCCCTGCTACCCCATCTGTGTTACTCAAAGCGATCACACAAAAGGCCACACCATCCTGGTCTTTATATCTTCGAGTTAGCTCGTGAGTGTCGCACACATCAATACGCACGCATTTACCAAGCCAAAACAAGCCTCGGGATTACAGGATCATACGCTAGTTTATTTGCACAGACAAAAGTTGTGACCATATTCGTTACCCTTTCTGCATAAAGCAGCCAACCAAATCATGGAATGCCTCAATTAGATCGTAAAGTGATATATAAGAAGTAAGTAGGATCCTAGCAGCCAACTTTATTGGTTTAGTGTTTTTTCGTGATTATTCTTGTATAATGGTTTCTGGCACTGATGATGACAGCCACATGACGGAATAAAGATTAGCACCGGTTTATCTGGGTCACAGGACGGTGAGCCGAGGACTTCTCCGCACAATACAGTAGTCTTTCCTACGCATCAATCTTCCGGTTTCCGGTTTCTAACCAACTTTTCCTTCGAAATGAAAAATCGGGTCATATTATATCACTAAAGAATTCTTCGAAACTAAGTTTTTCTTCATATGTCCAAATCCAATTAAGGAAAGTGTTCAACTCGTTTGCCACATAATAAGAAGCAGAAATCTGATGGTCTCATCCGTATAAAGGGAGGAAAATGTCTGCAGCCCAGAGGCTTTAGAAGACGCCAGTCAACATAGTCTTTTATTTTACACATTAACCCTTAGAAATGGATTTTTTAATGTTAAAACTAAAAACAAATATGGAGGACAATAGCTTACTTTTCTTTGAATATGGATTGCAAGAAACCTCGAACAGATGGATACACTAAGCTATCTCCAACCCTTTAGGATCTATTAATAATTTACATTATTTAAATTAACTAATAAAACTCATTCCGCAAAAGTTAAACGTCTTCCGTAAAAATAAATGACTATACAGAATCTATTCTGAGGGCTTTAACTAATAACTACTTAGAAAAATTCACAATAAGATATAGCGGATCAACAAATTTTCAAGTATCATCATTAAGATAAAATAGATAAGATTACCTAGGAATGCTGAATCTGATGAAAGTGTTTTGTCGAAGGCAAGACACAATCCCGTATCTTTGTGAATTATATGCTACAACGTGTAAAAAAGAGGTGAGTAAAAATATTTAAAAAGTAATGAAAAATATTTAGCTAAATAGCAGGTTACTTGAGGACTGTGGTAAAAAACTCATTTTAAAAGAGAATTATTTTCAATGAGTATGTGATGAAAATTTGGTTTAAATGAATTATTTAAGATACTCATTTTTAGAAACTTTACTACCTAGTAGCCCCCGTCTGTTAAGTTGGTAGAGATTAACTCAGAGGGTTCAGATCTTCTAAGCTTAAGTTGATTTATACTAGTTTGGTGATATAGTATTTAATGGAAAACTTGAGATGGAAGTCCCTTTCCGTAAAGAGGACAATCAGGAACATCAGGAACTGACAAAGTGGCAATAGGAAAAATACGAAAATAGAAAAAATATAAGAGGAAAAAATAAGCATTTGGCTAAAGGGTGTACTTACTAATAAATAGACGAACATTACAAATAAGGTGTGAAGACCAAGATGGTGTGGCCTTTTGTGTGGTCGCAGTCTATTACAAATAAGATTATTCGACCGAAGAATCAGAGAAAAGAGGAAAGCAGACGAATGGCAAAGTAAATTAAAATAATGAGTAATATAAAGATAATTAGGTATCGAATTCCTTTGGGAGTGATGATACAGGCGAGGTCTAAATTGCAGTCCACTCTGGATGAAATAGCCTTATAGAAAACAAATGAGTGAAATTCACTATAATCCCAAGGCATACACATTTCATTGTGAAAAAATCAATCATTTAAGCAACCTAGGTTGACTAAGTTCCTATTCAATAATTAATGATAGTCTCGGAGTCTACTGAAATAAAACAACTTAAGGAATGTCATTGTTGCTTGGAATGACTTTTAATTAAGCAAGGTCCCAACCAGATAGCATATAGTAGCATTTTCCATTAAGCGAACGTATGCTTGCTATTATGATCAATGACATCACTTATTTTCGATGAAATTAGTTTTTGAGAATATAAGCAACTCTTAAAAAAATCTTAATCATCCCAGATCACTTACGGTGATTTGATGAATATTGGTAATGTCGCCACTATACTCACAACCCGGTATCCAATCCCATTGGACGTGCTGACGAGACACAGGCGGGGTCAAAATTGCACCCGAGAAGAAACAACCTTTAGGGAAGGGCAAGTTTAAGTGAACTTCAATGGAATATGAGGCCCAAATATCTCATTGGAGGAAAAATCAACTACCAGTCCTTAAATCAGCGACATAGAATAGCCATGTTCTATTTCAAGAATGACAGATAGTCCCGAAACGAAATACACAAAAATTTGGAAATTATTTTCTGTGCATCAAAAAGTTAAAGCGAAGAGAATGAAAGAAGAACTCGGCTCACTTTGCCGGTAAACTGAAATTGTTGTGCATCTTTTGGCCTGTTTCGATAGGTACGGCCACATGGCCGAAAGAGAACAGGCGCTGTAGCCGATGTAACTTCGAGACAACCAGTGTCGCCCGCCTGGAGTTCACCGGATTTTGTAATTGCCCAGAGTTGATGACCACCGAGACCATGACAACGGGTAATACCGACTTGTTCGCCCTCTTTACGGCCCATAGTGTCTAAACAATTGCCACTGGCGTTATGCCGAACCTGTAAAAATTAGTCAATAATAGTCAAATTTGAGCCATTACAATCAGAGGGGCCTGGGAATAAAGAAATATAAAAACGGGATTGAAGACAATCATGATGGTAACTAAAAAGCAATAAACTTTGAATAAATAATGTAATTTTCCCTATGGCTTAACAGATAAAACCTTGTTCCAAAATGTAGCCCTCACTTGGAATGGATAACTGTTTCAACGAATGGCTAAGTTTCGTATCCAGACTGTAAGACGGTAAAAGCGGTATTAACTTGTGGGCTAAAGCGTGTTTGCATAAATAAGATAATTTACGACGAAACCGCCAATAACAATTAAATATTTTGCCTCAGGAGTCGATACTATCTTTGACTTCTTCATAACTGCCATAAATTCCGATAATACACTGTCCAAATAGCCAGTGTTTAACTTGCTTCACTTCTAGCCCGAAAATATGTAGATTTAGTGACTATATTTGCGAAAAAAGGATAATACGGCCGGACTTATATGTAAACAAGGGACTTTAGAAGCTTTGC